TCATAAATATTTGCATATACAAATCTCCATGTCAGCACTCTACTAATGCCTTCCCATACCTTTGAGTGTTCTCTTCTAGTGCAACAAATTCTTTCAACTTTTTTACCTTAATCAATTATTCAATTAGGCTTCTTAGATGTTTTTACTCCTTAGTATTATGATCGTGGTCATGATGATACAAAAATATCTTTCTTGGTCATGCATATGACCTCTAACATTCATAAGTGAACTCTAGCCTTGTATGTGTTGGCTTCTAAAAGTTTATTTTGAATGCCTTCGACAACTTCAACCATTGAAACCTTAAAGATATTAAAAATTAACAATTGGTGCATGGGAAGAGGTGATCTCTACTATGCATCATAATTAACTCGCCTCTCCTCATATTGAACTCACCTTTTGTAGGACAAGTTTGGCACTCAAGATTCTTGAAAAGTGTGAGATTAACACATTTAAGAGCTTAAAATCTTTTGAGGATTTGTGTCATGGTTTCCTTCCCTTTGGTCAATCACGTTAAATCTCCTTTTCAATGGAAGTTGTAGTTGGTGCCACATCCCAGATGTAGCAAATAAAGAGTTATATTCTTCGATGATAAGACCATTAGCTAGCTCCAACAATTTGACCATGGTTCTTGAGTGTTGGAAACTGAGTGTATAACAAATAGGTCTATCTCTTAATCCTTGACTAAGTACTCCATTCACTACAATAGGCTTAAGTTCTCTTATTTCTAGCATTTTTAAGTGAGTAATAAATGCTTGTATCCTTCTATCGACTCTAAACAATTTTTTTTTGTAAGTTTTGTGAATTCTCTCATGGTTTTTATGCACTGACAATTGAACGATGAATGTGTGCTTGAAGTCTGCATAAGGGGTAATGGCTCATATTATTAAGTTGTTGAACAACAAGAGTGTCAACTCTCTGAGGGTCAAAAATAATAAACAACACTTAATGACATCATTTATTTTGAGCATGGCATATGGTCAACTAGAAAATACGAGCCTCTGCATGATTCCAAGGATGTAATTATGAGCATCTCTAAGCCTCTTTTTTGCGATCTTCATGGAGAAGGCATTCTCCAATTAACATTCTCTGAGGCTCTAATTGCCTCCTTTCTCTTCTGTGGCCTGAAGAGAAGAAGCATGCATTATCGGGAGAAATGTTTCATCTTTCATTATTTACAAAGATGATAGACATCTTCTAGTTTATGTAATAAATACTCTTCTTCATCAAATTGCTAATTCTTGGGACACTAAGTATCCTTGCACCCTCGATCTTCTTCTTAAGACTTGCTCTACTGTCTCCCTCATCAGTATCATCATTTGTTTTTTAAACTTATTAATCTATTATAGTAAAAATTCTTTAGTCACTCCATATTGTTAGAGATTACTTTGTCTATTGATTATGCCCCTTAGGTAAATTCTATTGTTATTTGTAACATGTTTTTGTTTTTTGAACTCATTAATCTACTATATAAAAAATTCTTTAGTCACTCTACTTTATTAGAGATGGCTTTGTCTATTGACTTTGCCCCTTAGGTAAATTCTATTGTTATTTGTAACATGTTTTTTGCTCACAACACTTTTTAGAAGATTAGATCATGATTTAACCATAGACTAGCATACCTAAGGAAAAAAGTTAGAATGAAAGAATCGGAGCACCAAGAACAGAGAAGAAAAATCTATAGAAATTAGTATTTTCTAATGTTCAGAGACTGAGCTCCTTCATGCAATGATTTTGCTTATTTTTAAGTGACTCGTTTAATAGGTTACAATGTTAAAAAAATGCTATTATTAATAGTTGATCGTAAAAGATATGTTTTTCATTTATGTTTATTATCTCCTTTTAGAGCTAGCATTAAAATATTCATTTGATAACACATTTCCTTATTTATCAATTCTTCTAAGAATGCATCTCTTCTTACAATAGTTTTGATAGTGATCCTCAGTAACACTTATGTTAGTCTAGTTGGGGCTATGGCGAGTTGACAGGTTCACTCAATCAGGTTAGGATAATATGGTATTGAATTCGCCATGCTCATACGACAGGGCATGTTTTCTCAAAATCAGTTAACTGAATCGCCCTAATAATTTCCTCTTACTAAACTTCAAAGGCAAATTAACCTGCTCAAATCTTTTAGTTAGGTTATTCGATCACCAATTTATTATATTATCCTAATGAACTAGACTTTGTGCCTTGGGCCCACCCTGACGCTTTTGGCAATACAACAAAAAGTAATAATTTTATAAGAAACAAATTTAAATGTAAATTTAAAAGCAAATTTAGATATAAACATAAATTTATTTTCACATAAAAATACTAAACAAAATTATAATTCTAGAATATAATTTAATAAAATATTTTAATTTAAAGATATTAAAATTCACAAATTCAAACTTAAAATTATTAAATAATTCTAAGTAAATTATTTCTACAATATATTTTATATAAATACACAGAAGGTAAGGAGTAGGGCTGTAAATGAACCAATGCTCTTGATGAACAACTCAAATTCAACTCAATTAAGATTTGATCATGTTCGTTTAAATTAGTAAAGAAACAAGCTTGAACAACGAAGCTTAAGTGAACTAAAAATGAATATAGTCGAACTTGTTCGTTTATGTTCACATACAAACTTGTTTGTTGCTCAATAGATAGTTTGTCAAATACACGATATTAAACTTGAATATAGCTAGTATCATGTATGATATATTATTTAAATAAAATTTTATTAACTAGAATATTAGCTCGTTTGTGGATAACTGATTACTCATATCATATATGGTATATAAATATTTGATATTAAGTTTTTGTAGGTTTCAAAGCTTTTATATTTAGTTGTTTTGTAGGATTTAGGTTAAATCATGCTTAAATGTTCTACAAATCATTCTACCAAACAACCTTTAAGTGAGAGATTTAGAGTAAAATGGAGGAGAAAGATACAACTAGGTTTAGAGTTTATAATCAATATATGAAATACTGTGATTAAATTTGTAAATTTATTTATTGATTTTTTTGTATGAAAATCTAGATTCTCGTTTAAATTTTTAGATAGTTTAAATGCTGTTCATTTATCATAAATAAATCAAGCTCAAATATTGAAAAATTTAAACAAGTCAAGCTTGAACAATGAATAAAAGCTCAACACAAGCTAAAGTCGAATATGTCCAACTTTTAATTATAGCAAGTCAAGTCCGAACTATCATAAACTCGACTCAATCATAGCTTGGTAAAAAGTTGGCTGAGGACTATTTGTTGCTTTGTAAATTAAAAAAATAAAAGTTTATTTTTCTATTCTAAAAAAATATGGGAGAAACTTACATATGTAAACATTTTTATGCTTTAGAGATGACATAGTCACATATTAAGATTTTAGAAATAATTCTTCTTTTTTAAAAAATCATTATTATGAAGTTTTTTGATGGGCATCTGCTTAATAATACTCAATTGGTTATTTATTATCTGATTCCTTAGTTTCTAGTTCATAATAAAAATAAAAAAATGAAAACGTAAAATTTGATGTATTTCCAAATATAATAACTTAAAAAAAAGACGATATCAGCCAATCCATCTAGCCTCCGCAATCGTTCGCGAAAGCTATAGCCAATTCACCATCGAGCTGCTGGTCTCGGCGTCTTACCTCCTTTTTTTCTCTGATCTGGGAGGCGGAGTTCTTAGAAGTTCATCGGATCAAAGCTGCGATTCATTGTTTAGCTTCTCTTCTTCCATTTTAGGCTTTCAGTCAATTTCTCCTCAGGATATAACTAGAGATGGATTTCATGAAGGTTCTGGATCAGACTGTGCGTGAGATGTAAGTTTTGAATCTTGAATTTGATTTGATCAGCTTGACTAGTGAATCTGGATCTGTGAAAGGCTGTGTTTTTTATTCTTTTTGACTCTTCTTCTTTCTCTTTGCAGAAAGAGAGAGGTTAATTTGAAAGTACTCAAGGTTCCGGAGATTGAACAAAAGGTTAGATATTGACTTGCTATTCGTTTGCTGGTGTATAAAGCAGCATGTATTTTTGGCAGCTTTTGTAGATCCGTTTATCTGTGTGAAATCTTCTTCTTGAGGGAGAAAATTCAAGAAAATTTAAGACTGCTGGTATAGATCCGAGCTGTGGCGGCCTAATGTTGTGGTATGGTTAACTCGGGTTGGAGTGTTGGAAATTGGATGGGCAATATTGATTATACAAATGTATTACTTCTGTTGAGGAGGCCATGAGGGTAACATTTGGCAACTGATGGAGCCAGTGTCTTTTTTTATTTATGATCTTTTTCGAAGATCAGAAAAAAAAAAAAAAAAAAAAACGGTACATACTAGAGTCAAGGTTTCTTGAAGAGGTTCCATCTTGCATTTTTTAGGTGAAATTATATGGTAATTATTCTGCCTGGCTCTTGAATGGGATTTTGAATCCTCTTACAGAATCTCATTTGTTCAGTCATATGCTGGATTTCCATGTTGAATGATGTTTGCTTTAGGATTTTAATTTACACCCTAAATCATCCACAATGCTTACTTTTTGCAAACTGAATTTGAAGATTTGCTTGATTGTTAGTAGATGGCTGTCTGTTTTGTTGGAATTTTGGTGCAAGGTATAATATTTGCATGCAAAGTTACTTGTCATGTTTGGTTTGAAATTGAAGTTCGTCAAGTTTAAAACTACTTTACTTCTCAGATCATTTTTTTTTTGCAAACTTGCCAAATTTGATATGGCAAAATAGATCACTTATACTTTTATTTATCTGTTAGTGAACCAATTTAATTGAGAGATTAAATTTCCTTGTACTTGATGAGTTACCATATCCTTGCAAAAACTGATAGGATTTATCTATCGGATATACTAAATCCATCCAAACATAAAAAAGCACAAGTTCTATAGATTTATGAACTTTCGGATTTAAGGTTCGAACTTTGTCTTCGATTCATGTTAAATTTGGATTTAATAGAGCTAGCAAGTGGGTGGATTTACTAAATCCTACTAACTTAAATCCTTCCTGTAGCTAAACACCCCCTAAAGCTCTTTTAATCTAACATTTGCCAAGAAGCATATTTTGTTTGCTCTAAAAGACAATGTTGAGCTAGTTTTTATTGATGGGCTATATACTTTTTTCTTCATTTTAACTGATTCTTGCATCATATTCTTCCATGCATTTTTGGATATTCCAGTCTTTTGACATTGGTAAAACCTTCTCATCTATCATGGTTTGTTTGCTTAGAGGGCTTATTTGGGTGGCAAGTGAGTTTTAATGTGTCATATAAAGTTAACGAATAACTTCTACTTTCAATGACTACATTGAGTGACCTTTTCTTGGTAGTTTGACATCTTAAAATTCAGGTCCTTGATGCAACAAATGATGAACCTTGGGGTCCTCACGGTTCTACTTTGTCTGAGCTCGCACAGGCCACAAAAAAATTGTAACTTCTGGATTCAATTTATTTATGTTTTCATCGGCAAAGAACAATTTTTCTTCAATGTAGGATAACTTATTTTGCCCTTATCAGCACTGAATGCCAGATGATTATGAATGTACTTTGGACAAGAGTAGGAGATAAGACTGCAAATTGGCGTCATATTTATAAGGTATTGCTGTTTGTAGGCGCTTATCTCATAATTATTTTCTCCACATGAAACACATCTACTAATCACAGGCAATTACCAGTTATTCAATAATTATTTACTTGAAATATTGATTTATTTAATTTTATCTTAGGCTTTGTCTGTTATTGAGTATTTGATAGCAAATGGGTCTGAACGGGCAATTGATAACATTCTGGAGCAAAGTCATCAAATTTCTGTATGAACTCAAACTCATCTATGGAGTAGTATTTTGGATTTTATTTTGAGTTTGATGCTTCTTTCTGAACTTCTCATTCTTATGTGTTTTATATTTCATGAAGTCACTCTCAGATTTTGAGTTTGTTGAGCCTAATGGGAAGGATGTTGGGATCAATGTGAGAAAGAAAGTTGAAACCATTTTAGCCCTTCTTGGAGATAAGGAAAAAATTCAAGCCGTTAGAAATAAAGCTGATGCGACACGGGATAAGTGAGCTAGTGGATATTCCGGAGTTGTTTCTAGCATTGACTGTTTTGAAAACATGACCTGTAACATGTCATTGTGTGCAATACTGCATTCAGGTATTTTGGGCTATCATCAACAGGAATTACTTACAAGTCAAGTTCAACCTCATATAGTGGGAGTAGCTTTCGCCAGAGTGAGCATTATGGGACCTCAAGTGGTACTAGGGAGGATGAGTCATTCAGAGATAGCTTTAGAGATGGCAAGCAAAATCATGGAGCTAGTGATGGACTCACTAAGTCAAAGGAAGGCTTTTCAAAAGAAAAGGATGGCAGCATAATGAAGAAGGGTGTGTTGCATAGTGCCAGGTGCAATTTGTACCAAAATTTGTTTCATTCTATAGTATTATTATTGTGTTATTCATTTGTGGATTGTGGATTGTGGATTCCTAACTTGTTACATTTAGCAAGTATGTTAAGTTGCTTGGGAATTTAATTTTTCTCAATAATTCTCCCTATACAACTTGACACTGAATTGAAATAGCCTCAACCTTTCAATGTAGGCATTCACATGCAAACAGTAATGTTCACTCTTGAAAATTATAATAGATGGGACGTTCCTCAAATTTATTAGATTTTATTTATTTATGTGCCTTCTTTTGACCATCATTTTGATCTAGGAATACAAATTAGAAAATTATAACAAAATTTAGCTCTTTTTAACTTCATTTTAATATTATATCTCTTATGTCATTAATTATTTGTATATTCACCATTTGCACGTGCATTTGTGCTTTTCTAATAAAAAAGCATGAGCTACATCATACGTCATGCGCTATTGCTGTAGAAAGCTCTTGTGTCATAGTGTATCATTCATTATTGACATCTATCAAATGTTTACCTCCTATATTGGTTGTTCCCATTAATCATTATTTTATAGTTAATTTATTCATATGAGTTTGTTAGTTACTTAAAGTCATATGAGTTTGTTAGTTACTTAAAGAACATATGTGATTGTACAAAACTGATTATTAGGCTATAAGCAAGTTTGGTTTTGTTCATTGGCTATTTGCTTTAGAAATTTTAAAAGAATTGCAATTGGAAGTCATTGCATTTAAATGTAATACAAACTCCTTCAAATAAGTTGTCCCTTGAGTAGGTGGTGGGAGGGATCTACTCTTTGCACTAGAGTTTACATTTATTTTTCCTTTAATAAGAGATGAAAAAAAATGGATCATTACTCTTACACGGGGTAAAAAGTCTTCTCTTATCCTAACCCGCCTTTTTCTTGAATCATGGGACCCTTGGATTGTCCCTTTGTCCCCCTTCTTGTGTTTTGGGAGACGGAGTGCTGTCACTTTTAATTAGAACCAGGAAATGGGCAAACACTAGTGGATGTATGAGATTATAAGACTATGTAGACTGCCTTCTAGCGTGCTTGAGGCAATCCTTAAGTAGTCAGCTTTTATTTACTGTGGAGCTTTTGAACCAAGCTCGAAGGCAAAATAATCAATAGTATTTTGTCCAAGACAATGACTGTATGCACGATATCGAGGGCCATGCACAACCCCGTTACTTGGAAGGTACATCATATTATTTTTCTTTTTTTGCACCGTGTCATTATGAAGGGTAAGTCTCTATAATCTTTCTCTTTGAGGTCCTTTCTATCTTACCTTCCGAGTAACGGGGTTGTGCATGGATATACGTTGGCTTCTATTATATCATTCTTTGGTTGCTTGCTCCCAAGGTGCTCGATCACACCACTCTACATCATATTATTTTTCTTTTTTTGCACCTTGTCAATATGAAGGGTAAGCCTCTATAATCTTTCCCTTTGAAGTCTTTTCTGTCTTACCTTCCGAGTAACTGGTTTGTGCATGGATATATGTTGGCTTCATCCCCTTATAAAGAGGGATGAAAACTATGTAACCCGTAAGTCGGGCCGAATTATTTCAAAAGGATATATCTTCCACGATCTATGTGAACTGTCTTCCACTTTAGGACTGGTGTTATAGATGATTCTATCTTAAAGAATGAAGGCATTATTGATGAGCATTTGAATGGTTTTAATTTTAACACCCTTATAATATAGAGCAATTGGGCCCATCACTATTCTTGAAAAGAATATCCATATCACGTAACTCCAAAATTATTGCTAACATCCCTTGCATGAGTTGCAAATGATGTAGTTGACCAAGGATTCACCCCTGTTGTAGCATTGGACTACTAGATTTCCCACAATAGTATTTTGATGAGCCCCTGCAAAACACTTGATGAAGTGGTCTTTGAGCTCAAAGAAAGAACATAATAAGCCAATTGACAAATCTATTAGGCCATTTGAATGCTACTCGAAAGACACAATTGATGAACTATCAAAAGAGTGAGTCACGTCTCCAAAAATTGTTACAACTGGCCTGGAACTAAGCCAAGTGTTGTATGGGGTTCTTTAATCTGTTGATTACTTTGAACTAGGGGGCGACAAAACCTATAAGGTATGGAGCTCGCTAAAACTCCTTTGTGCATGGGGACAGCATTGAACGACATCCCTAGATTGTTTAGCCATGATGGCTTGCTGTGTCGTCTAAGAGATTTAAGTCATGTAACTAGCTAGAGGCTTGCTATTTAGCCATGATGGCTTGCTATGTAGTTCTAAACCTTTTTATTCTCACACTTTTAGTATTTTTTTATTTTATTATCAAAATTCTATTTTTTACTGCTACAATTTTAAAACATATTTTTGGTTGATTTTAATCTGAAAGATTTCTATAATAGTCAATTTACAATCTTCTTACATAATAGGGGTGCATAGAACATGGTATTTTATTTCTTAGTTTCAAATGTAAATTCTCATAAGTTTTTATATTAACTATGCTCTCGTATCACTCAATATCCTAAATATATTTCTACTTTTCAATTGCATTGCTTGCACTTTATAGGTTTTATGTTTTAATAATTGGCCTGAAAGATATCAAAGTTCTAAATATATCACACCTATATGATATTTTATAGCATGAGGATTAATTTTACATTTAATATGTTATTTACTTAAAATTTATTTTATTGATAATGTGTTTGATTATTAATTTTTAATTTTTAAAATTCTGGATGATATTCTCTAATCTCATATCATGTTAAAGGCACTTCTTCACTCAGTTTACTTTTTTAATAATTCCTTAATAGTTAGTAATTATATCCATAATTTTTGTTCGATGGATATAGGATATTTGAAACTATTAGACTTGTATGTTTGTTCATCCTCCATCTCAACCTATCATATTAGTTTCTTACTCACTATAGTTACGTGTCATGCCCTTAATTAGTTTTCTACTAATCTTTGATCTTTATCATATAGAAATTTTAATTATTGCTTAGGCTTTTCACTAATTTGAAAATATCTCTATATATTATGACTATATCTTTAGCAAAGAATGCTTTAAGCAATCTCATTTGGATATCTACTATAAGAGCATTTGTTGCTTGCTATAAAAATTTTCAAAGTTAATATTAATCCTTGATATAACTATCCTGGGATTAGACTTGTAAACCATCATTTATATGTTTAAGAAATTTAACATATCAGACTCACTTTTTTTTTCCATATTTCCCTTAAATTCATCCTTAAATTCATCCTAAAATCCTATGGGTCTGTCATTTACGTTTTGAAGTTCTATGTAAGATTCATATATAAAATTTCTTTCATATATAATATTTCTTACTGCTTTCACTTCATAAGCGTAATTGCTTTACCTTTGTGCCTCAATTTTCAAATTTTCTCCTTTAAGACATTTTTGTGGCCTTTCATTACATCATTTACTCCTATAGTTTATTAACATGATTCACATACTAAATTCCCTTTTAGCTATAAAATTTTAATTTTTTTAAATTAATTTTAACTTTTATTGAAATGTGTATTTTTCCCATTTCTGATGTTCTCTTAGTTATTAGGATTTTACCAGAAAATTTTGTTAACAATAGTGATCATATATCTTTCTTAATTCCTTAAATTTCAGAATTTCTTTATTAAAATTTCACATCGCAATGAAATAGTTTATAATTGAATAAACAAACACTCAATCAATTGATATAAGTGGCATAGAATGGAAGTTGTGAAGCATTGAGCATTTCTTGAGACAATACCGTGCTAGCAATTTATTTAGCAATTTATTTATTAAAAAACATACATATTTCAGACACTTGTTGAGCACATTTTTGTCCTAGTTGAATTCAAGCCATATTTCAATTATAACCGATATCAGTCATGCTTCCTTTTCATTCTAATTCTTTATAATTCTCTTCGAACATTCTTTTTCTTTTTCACTAAGTTGTCTTAAAGAGTGGTCCGGAATTTAAGTACATAAAAATCCACATTTGAATTGAAATAATACTACTAAGCAATTTTGAATATGTTTTGTAAAAGAAAATCATGGGATTTATTACTTAATATAGATCATATTCTTGGTTTCATATGATAAACATGTGACTTCCTATTTTACAGAGAGCATAGTCTTGTATTCATTTGATTTTGATGTTTATTGTGTCTCCTATTTGGATTAGGAAAGGGCTAAATTCTAGGAGGAAAAGGGATAAAAAGAAAATGGTATTACTGATTCTTAATAAGGTTCAAATAGTAACATGACCCACCCCCTTCTATATATATATATATATATATATGTATATATATACATAGAGATGTATGTATATATGTACATAGAGATGTATGTATATATGTACATAGAGATGTATGTATATATGTACATAGAGATGTATGTATATATGTACATAGAGATGTATGTATATATGTACATATAGATGTATGTATATATGTACATATAGATGTATGTATATATATGTACATATAGATGTATGTATATATGTACATATAGATGTATGTATATAGATGTATGTATATAGATGTATGTACATATGTATGTACATATAGATGTATGTACATATGTATGTACATATAGATGTATGTACATATGTATGTATATATGTACATATGTATGAGTACCTATTAATTCAAGTACCACTCCTACTGTGCCTATTAATTCAAGTACCACCTCGTTAAGGCCAACTGAGCTAGAGGGGATTCGAACCATCGGCCTGAGGGGTCTTACACTGAGGATGTCAACTAACAGGCCGAGGTACGCGGCACACACACACACACACACACACACACACACACACATATCTTTATATATTTTGATTTGTGCTTGGTTGTGTGTTGGTTTTTCACAAGCATTACTTAGCATGTGCTCTTGCTGATGGAGATATGTGCATTCACACTTAGTGGAAATGTCCATTATGAAACTGATATGAAATTTATTTTAGTAGCATCATTATTTGGTAATTATATTCTTTTATTTAGT